AAATCGCTAATTAAAACGTTTTTGAGAGCTGGCAACTTTCCGAAAAATATCCATGAATAGTCGCTTATAACATTTTACATGTTTTTTTAAATTTAATTTTTTATCAAAAGATGGCAACTCAGTTTGCAATATTTTTAACAGCCTTTCGCCATTTATGAGAGCTTTTGAGAACATCCTACCCTTTTTAAAAAGTTCTTGAACAATATTTTTTTTTTTACATTCTTTTAGATTAATTTATGAAATTGTTTTGCAAAATATTTTTGCGAGAAGTTCTCCGTTTCCAAAAAATCCATGAAAAGTTGCTAATAACATTATATATGCTTAACAAAATTATTATTTTTATTGTTAGGTGGCAACTCTGTTTGCAATTTTTTTTTCTAAACAGCCTTAGACAATTTAAAAGAGCTTTTTAGGAAATGCCATTTTATATGCTTAATCAAATTATTTTTTTGATAGGTGGCAACTCTGTTTGTAACTTTTCTTATACCGTTTTACGCAATCTAATAGAGCTTTTAAGGAAGTCCCAACCTATTTTGATGCATTTTTAAATATATTTTTKATTTAATTTTTAAGTTTYGTAATTTTCCATAGGTTTATAAAATTGTTCTTTGTGCTGTGACACTTTACCGAGCATTTAATTTGAGAGCTTAGATAGGTTTATTTTTCYTATATTTTATGCACCTGATATTTTGCAGTAGCTCTATGTAGTATAATTTTATGTAGTTAATTTTAGGTCTTAAATGCGTGCCTTCTAATTCTTTCTGGTTTTTATAAAATTAAAAAAAAAAGYATTTTSWAAACTWCAACGTATTTTACGCTAAYAAACCAAAATTAAGTAAATAAGAAGACCAAAATATAGTTCAAATATATTTCTCTGCAACGCTAAAGATTTCTCAAGCTTTAAGTAATTTGAACGGAATTGTACAAATCTAAAAAGTACTCACCTTCTATGCTTATTCCATATGTTGAATACAATAAGTGCTAAGGCTACTAATATACCACAACTTGAAATTGTACACATACAGACAAATAATGGCAGCGATACTGTGCGTAAGACGCGACGTACAATTGTGCGATCCTGAGGYACCTAGAAATTTATAGAAAATATAAAAGTATTATAAAAATGTTTTGTGGTAAGAAATGTGTAAAAAAAAATTTCTGAAATATTGTAAATGATCAATATATTTTTGAATAATGATAATGAATAAAAATAAATAAATAAATTTTGGCTTGTGTGTATACAAGAGTCTGCTTATGTGATACTAGGCGTATACGTAACATTCATTGCTATAATTTTTTGCCATCTAACTCATCAATATTCTTTACCAAATCACTCTCAAAAATCGCATACATTAAAATCAGATACATATACACTCATTAAGAATTCATCCAAGCGCCCCACTTGAGCATTTCTTCCTCTTCCCAACTAACTACTGTTCGAATAAAATTTATTGCCTGCCCCAGTTTAGCGAGCAAGAAGAAGAAAKGAAAGCAATCGAGCGAATGCTGCAACCAAAATCAATCAATGCCTGGTGACTTTTGCCATTAAATGTTTTTTCGCAAACTATGCCAGTGAGATTTCACAAAAAAATGAGAAGGAGCTCTCAAAAATTGAAATGAAARTGGGGGGAGGGAAAGAGCAAACAAAATACCGTACGAATTGGCACAAATTGGCATTCCGCAAAATTAGCATGCAAAGAATTACCAGCGACAGCAATTTAACTGCAATGCCATGCAGTTGTCAACCTCAATACATACGAACACAAGAACTTGGGCGCAAAGCAAGCAGCGAAGAGTTCGCCAAGTCGCCAAGGTAGAGACGGTTATGTACTATTTAAATGTGCAGCTGCCAGCAGAGAGAGAACAGCGCAACTTCATCAGTAATTAAGGCAATCGAACTGTCATTGATGCTGTGGTGCGCAAGTTCTCTGCGAAGTCGGACTGAAAAATGCCAAGGCGGCTAGTCAGTGGGGAAAAGTTTTCCACATGCAAAATGGCAGTAAAGTAGAAGAAGCGATTAATTGCAATGTGCTGGTGATACCATGCGCTTTGTGAGCGCCGGAAGTTTTTAATGAGTGTGTAGTGWGTTGGAGTGAAAGAAGAGCGGATTTACTGTTATTTTCGTTTTCTTTTTCAGTAGGCGATGTGAGATGCTTTCTAGAGTCGACATGAAAGCATGAGATGTAGGTCAATATTCAATAGTTGCAGATTGACTACATTTTGAGGAATTTTACTTATAGTAAGTAAAAAGTGGTAATCGACAAAAAAA